AGCAAAGAAGTGGTATGCGATTGCATATAAATCATTGGCAGCTAATCAAGCGGATGGTCGCAATGCTGCAATATTACAAAGGTAAAGCTTCGAAGATACAATAATTATTTTATGAATTACATTTGATATCGATTTTAAGTGGTTATATTGTTTAGAAAAATTGCTCTATGTCATCTTGAAGACCATGCGTTAGCCGATGCAACTGAAGCCATTCGCCAGGCCCAATTACATGAACATAATTCGGCCGCAAATTTTTATATATTATTCCATATCGCAATGGAAAAGCGACAAATTGTTCAAGGTTCTATTAAATATTTTATTAAAAAATTTTTTTGGTATATCTTGCAAAAATTCAAAAGAATCTGTCTTTTCTTATATAGCCATTCAACACTTGCATGAAATGTGTAAAGGGGATGAATTTCACGGAAATATGCTCACAATGGCCGCTCACGAGGCTTATCAGAAAGGAAATAAGGCAGTTCTTATCGAAGCTTTGAAGGAAATTCTGGAAAAACACGAAAAAGGTGAAGACATTGCTAACGTGGATATATTTGTTTTGCTTAGGTAAATATTAACATGTAAACTTCAGAGTATAAAAATACCATACTTATATACAGTAAAATATTTCAGATGCTTAATACGAATGACGTATAACACATTTTCCGGCGATGAAATGGAAAGGTGATAATATTGTTTTGCCTACATGTTGAAATTGTTTGTGTAGTGCTTATTAGAATCCATTCTTTTTGTAGGGCTTCGCTTAAAGATTGTATATGTGGATATTTCGAAATTGGTAACTAATAAGATCTTTTTCATTAATTGGCTTCTTAACGATTTTAATGATTTAATGAGTAATTTGATGATATAGCTTTAAACCTCATTAAATCAACCGAGAACAACGAAGACAAGCGAGATGACTCTATACAACAAAAAAGAGCGCTATTAAAAGATTTGGAATGGTTTTTCAAAACAGGTATATACTATATTATTGACATGGATTTTTTTTTTTTTTTTTAATAAAATGTTTACTAGAAAAAAACTCAGTTAATTTTTTGCAACAGCATGGAATATGGGTTTAGAGTTTTGTCAACAAGCAAAAGAAAGCAGTGATATGTTTTCCATTCAATTATTTGATATCGCTTATAAGGTGTATATAAAATTGTTAAATAGATTTTTTGGTAGAAAATAGTTGTAACTGACAAGCTTCATATTGATTGATAGTTTCTAAATAAATATCCCGAAGAGACACTAGAACACATTAATCGTAAGAGACTTTGTATTTTCACCTCCCTGTGTGGTAAATTATTTCTTTCTCGGCAGCAAAATTCGATATCCCAAAAGGTATATTTATGCCATCTTTATCTAAAAAATCTTTAATGTCTATTAATATGCACTATACTGTTGATGAATAGAGAGATCTATTGCAACAAACACTTGCAAGCATTGAACAATACAAAAAGTTAAAAAAGACTTTGGGTAAAAGAAAGCGATCTACATTGGATGATGTTCAGGAAAATAAATCCACTGCACAGAGTGATATGATTTTAATAATTTTATTCGAATTTGAAGCTAAAATAAAACTGGGATTATGGAATGAATTGCTAACAGTTCTTGATGCAAGTATTCTGAATAGTGCAAAGTGCAATTATTGTGAAGTTATGAAGACTAGAATCATTACTTTATTTTAGGCTGCTGAAGCATATGATTTTGAGGTACCTTCAAAAATATTCGAACGTATGGCAGAGTTATTGATTAATGAAAACAAATGTCCGAGTACAGGTAATTTATGGAAATTAGATACATTAATTTTAGCCGTTTAAATACAAATTTTAGCCGTTTAAATACTTATTCTCACCTTCAATATTTCGGAAAATTTAGTAATATTTTCTACACTACAGGTATGATGTTCAAACATTCGTCAAATTCACCAATGAATTAATAAATTTGACCAAATGCACTTTTATATTATAATAGGTTCTGTTGAATTCCATAACTAAACGGAAACAAGTTGATATTGAACAATTTTCAAGATGGTTCCGAATGTTGATTATAACTTCTATGGCAAAAGATAAACAGGCATCTGCACAATATTTCGACCAAGCTTTAGATATATTAAATCAGGAATGTTCAAAAGTA